GGGGGGGATTGTTCATTTTCAGGATGGAAGCCAAACCAAGAAAAGTGGTTCCCATTGAATTATAGGGGAGGAGCCTGATGTAGGCCAGTGGTCCCATATTTCCCTTACTAGGGAAATAGTCTTGGAGGTGGGATTGGAAGGTTCTTAGCCTGACGACGAGGTCTCCCAACAGTGTCCCATGTAATATAATATCAGGAAAATACTGCATTATGGCCACTAGATGGAGCTTCATCGAATGAGTCTTTATTTCCTGTGATCCTTGGCTCCATCTAGTGGTCATAATGGGGTATTTTTCTGATATTAACTGCGACCTGACAAGAAAAGATACAAATCACATTCTCCATTCACAAGGAACAGACGTACATTCATTGTCACAGCTGAATGGCTGCTAATTGTCTATAAATACACCCGTCACTGTTCTATACGTCAGAATGATGTGGTGATGGGTCAGCAGATAAGACTCGCTATGAATAAAGGAACCAGATTTACAATATGAGCCTCTGATCACCTCCATTAGTAGCTCTTACACCATGCCTGATCCCCCCAACTCTTTGGAACCCCCCAATTGCCCCAGCCTCAGGGGGTGTCCCTTCAGCAGTACTGAACGAGGCGGCTTCAATACAAGCACATACACTTTGCTCAGGCTACCATTACAATTGGAAACATCTGTGTGAGCCCCATTCTCCTCCTGGACCGGTAAAACAAGGCAAAGGTGGTCCTCCAAGCTCCTGTGTTATTCATGGATCCAGTATGGGCACCAAAGAAATTTCCCCCCCGGTGGTGAGTGTTGGGTCTTGGTGGATCCGGGTCTCTTCTCCTGGGTTGGGTGGGCCCTGTATAGAACCCCTGTATAGTTCAATGGGAGACTCCCCAGGATACTCTGGACCCCGGTGGTGAGTATTGGGTCTTGGTGGATCCGGCTCTCTTCTCCTGGATTGGATGGGCTCTGTATAGTTCAATGGGAGACTCCCCAGGATACTCTGGACCCCGGTGCTGAGTGTTGGGTCTTGGTGGATCCGGGTCTCTTCTCCTGGATTGGATGGGCTCTGTATAGTTTAATGGGAGACTCCCCAGGATACTCTGGACCCCGGTGGTGAGTGTTGGGTCTTGGTGGTGTCATTGCCCCTCCTGTTTTCCCCATACTGCCGAGTGTGGCATTATGAAAGCTGATGGTCCACTCTGTGGTACCGGAGCTTCTCAGTGGCCAGTCTCAAGGAGCGCCAGAGCACAGAATATAATTTCTCCTGCTAGGTGGTGCGGCTAAATAAGATGAGATTTTGGTGAAATGATCTTTACTCATCTCCGATGCCGGATGGTATAATGGTGGTCTCATCAATCGTCCTCTAAGCTTTACACGATGATCCGAGAACTAACTATCAATTCCTTCCTATTAGCAAACCAGTGAACCTGTACCGGCAGCATCCATGGCACCAGATCTGGGCTCCTGGGAGCCCGTCGAGCGAATACCACATCTGGGTATGATCTCCAGAACCGAGTCCCAAATTATTATGTCTCCCAGGTAACATTTCTTTCCAAATACAGAACTCCTGAGACTTTCCTGGTGAGAACATGATGGATACATGATATATGTCCGACAGAGTCCTGGTAATGGTGATATATGATGGATACGGTGCTGTAATGGTGATATATGTCAGGCATAGTGCTGGTTATGGTGATATGTGATGGGTTTGGTCCTGGTTATGGTGATATGTGATGGGTTTGGTGCTGGTAATGGTGATATGTCATGGGTTAGGTGCTGGTTTTGGTGATATGTGATGGGTTTGGTGCTGGTTTTGGTGATATGTGATGGGTTTGGTGCTGGATTTGGTGATTTGTGATGGGTTTGGTGCTGGTTATGGTGATATGTGATGGGTTTGGTGTTGGTTATGGGGATGTTTGCTGGGTTTGGTCCTGGTTATGGTGATATGTGATGGGCTTGGTCCTGGTTATGGTGATATGTGATGGGTTTGGTCCTAGTAATGGTCATATGTGATGGGTAAAGTCCTAGTTATGGTGACAAGTGATGGGGTTGGTGCTGGTTATGGTGATATATGATGGGTTTGGTGCTGGTTATGTGTGATGGGTTTGGTGCTGGTTATGGTGATATGTGATGGGTTTGGTGCAGGTTTTGGTGATATGTGATGGGTTTGGTACAGGTTATGGTGATATGTGATGGGTTTGGTGCTGGTTTTGGCCATATGTGATATGATTGGTGCTGGATATGGTGATATGTGATGGGTTTGGTCCTGGTTATGGTGATATGTGATGGGTTTGGTCCTGGTTATGGTGACATGTGATGGGTTTGGTGCTGGTTTTGGTGATATGTGATGGGTTTGGTGCTGGATTTGGTGATTTGTGATGGGTTTGGTGCGGGTTTTGGTGATATGTGATGGGTTTGGTGTTGGTTATGGGGATGTTTGCTGGGTTTGGTCCTGGTTATGGTGATATGTGATGGGCTTGGTGCGGGTTTTGGTGATATGTGATGGGTTTGGTGCGGGTTTTGGTGATATGTGATGGGTTTGGTGCTGGTTATGGTGATATGTGATGGGTTGGGTGCTGGTTTTGGTGATATGTGATGGGTTTGGTGCTGGTTATGGTGATATGTGATGGGTTTGGTGCTGGTTATGGTGATATGTGATGGGTTTGGTGCTGGTTATGGTGATATGTGATGGGTTTGGTGCTGGTTATGGTGATATGTGATGGGTTTGGTGCTGGTTATGGTGATATGTGATGGGTTTGGTGCTGGTTATGGTGATATGTGATGGGTTTGGTGCTGGTTATAGTGATATGTGATGGGTTTGGTGCTGATTATGGTGATATGTGATGGGTTTGGTGCTGATTATGGTGATATGTGACGGGTTTGGTGCTTGTTATGGTGATATGTGAGGGGTTTGGTGCTGGTTATGGTGATGTGTGATGGATTTGGTGCTGGTTAGGATGATATGTGTTGGATTTGGTGCTGGGAAAGCAATTGATATGTATGTGCAATACTTTACTGCCCTGTCTTCCTATCTCATTTCAGACAGGAGAATAAACTGTCCCGGGGTCCTCGCAGTGTTTCTATGAAAGATCGTCAGAACTCCCGAGTTACGGGTGACCGAGGGAGCAGCCTGGAAGGTGAATTTTCCCCGGACTCGCGGCTCTTTAGTCAGGTGGGTACACGTGGTGTGTAAGCTGTCACTTCCAGAGGAGTCCCATCATTGTATATGGAATGGCAGATGTAGTATGAAGCCATACACACATCGCAGCCAAGTGTTGTGCAGCCCTGACTGGGTGGTAACTGGGAGGTAACTGAGGATAACTGGGAGGTAACTGGGAGATTACTGGGAGGTAACTGACTGGGAGGTAACTGAGGATAACTGGGAGGTAACTGGGAGATTACTGGGAGGTAACTGGGAGATTACTGGGAGGTAACTGGGAGGTAACTGGGAGATAACTGGGAGGTAACTGGGAGATTACTGGGAGGTAACTGGGAGATTACTGGGAGGTAACTGGGAGATTACTGGGAGGTAACTGGGAGATTACTGGGAGGTAACTGGGAGGTAACTGGGAGATAACTGGGAGGTAACTGGGAGATTACTGGGAGGTAACTGGGAGATTACTGGGAGGTAACTGGGAGATTACTGGGAGGTAACTGGGAGGTAACTGGGAGATTACTGGGAGGTAACTGGCAGAGCACCGGCAGAGAATACTATGAAAAACCTCATTGCTCAGGAGGATGGCGCGGCCCAATCCCACATCCCAACACCAAAGGACAAGGATAACCCGGGAGGTAACTGGGAGGTAACTGGCAGGTAACTGGGAGATAACTGGGAGGTTGTGGTGAAGAGGGACTAATGGAACCAGAAAGCCTCCACTGAACCAGTTTCTGCTACAATAGAACCTTCTACAAATAGAAGATATTCACATATCCCAAAACTTTCAGGAAAGTAGGCGGGGCCATGCAAATCATTCCTATATGCCCCTGGGCAAGGTGTACATCCAGAACTGATACAGCCACATTTCACACAACATCCTCAGTAGGTGAGGTGATGATGATGATGAATCGGGCGGCCATCTTTGTGATGATCTAAAGACGAATGTTCAGAATTTCTTCCCTCTGTAGACACCGAGCATTGTACGAAGAGTCTTTGCACCTTACCCATATATCACCTCCCCCGCAACCTTGCCCATATATCACCTCCCCCGCAACCTTACCCATATATCACCTCCCCCGCAACCTTACCCATATATCACCTCCCCCGCAACCTTACCCATATATCACCTCCCCCGCAACCTTACCCATATATCACCTCCCCCGCAACCTTACCCATATATCACCTCCCCCGCAACCTTACCCATATATCACCTCCCCCGCAACCTTACCCATATATCACCTCCCCCGCAACCTTACCCATATATCACCTCCCCCGCAACCTTACCCATATATCACCTCCCCCGCAACCTTACCCATATATCACCTCCCCCGCAACCTTACCCATATATCACCTCCCCCGCAACCTTACCCATATATCACCTCCCCCGCAACCTTACCCATATATCACCTCCCCCGCAACCTTACCCATATATCACCTCCCCCGCAACCTTACCCATATATCACCTCCCCCGCAACCTTACCCATATATCACCTCCCCCGCAACCTTACCCATATATCACCTCCCCCGCAACCTTACCCATATATCACCTCCCCCGCAACCTTACCCATATATCACCTCCCCCGCAACCTTACCCATATATCACCTCCCCCGCAACCTTACCCATATATCACCTCCCCCGCAACCTTACCCATATATCACCTCCCCCGCAACCTTACCCATATATCACCTCCCCCGCAACCTTACCCATATATCACCTCCCCCGCAACCTTGCCCATATATCACCTCCCCCGCAACCTTACCCATATATCACCTCCCCCGCAACCTTCCCCATATATCACCTCCCCCGCACCCTTACACATATATCACCTCCCCCGCACGTGCCCCCGTAATCCGTCTTTATCACCTCCCCCGCAACCTTACCCATATATCACCTCCCCCGCAACCTTACCCATATATCACCTCCCCCGCAACCTTACCCATATATCACCTCCCCCGCAACCTTACCCATATATCACCTCCCCCGCAACCTTACCCATATATCACCTCCCCCGCAACCTTACCCATATATCACCTCCCCCGCAACCTTACCCATATATCACCTCCCCCGCAACCTTACCCATATATCACCTCCCCCGCAACCTTACCCATATATCACCTCCCCCGCAACCTTACCCATATATCACCTCCCCCGCAACCTTACCCATATATCACCTCCCCCGCAACCTTGCCCATATATCACCTCCCCCGCAACCTTACCCATATATCACCTCCCCCGCAGGTGCCACGGAAATCCGTGTTTGATGAACTCAATGAGATTCTGGGAGCAGAACAGCAACTTCCAGACAGCATCATCCTAGTCAACACTACAGACTGGCATGGACAGGTGAGGAGGACTGAGGAAGGACAGGTGAGACAGACTGAGAAAGGACATGTGAGAAGGACTGAGGAAGGACAGGTGAGAAGGACTGAGAAAGGACAGGTGAGACGGACTGAGGAAGGACAGGTGAGAAGGCCTGAGGAAGGACAGGTGAGAAGGACTGAGGAAGGACTGGTGAGGAGGCCTGAGGAAGGACAGGTGAGAAGGCCTGAGGAAGGACAGGTGATAAGGACTGAGGAAGGACAGGTGAGAAGGACTGAGGAAGGACGGGTGAGGAGGCCTGAGGAAGGACAGGTGAGAAGGCCTGAGGAAGGATGGGTGAGAAGGCCTGAGGAAGGACAGGTGAGAAGGCCTGAGGAAGGACAGGTGAGAAGGCCTGAGGAAGGACGGGTGAGAAGGCCTGAGGAAGGACAGGTGAGAAGGCCTGAGGAAGTACGGGTGAGAAGGACTGAGGAAGGACGGGTGACGAGGACTGAGGAAGGACAGGTGAGGAGGACTGAGGAAGGACAGGTGAGAAGGCCTGAGGAAGGACGGGTGAGAAGGACTGAGGAAGGACGGGTGACAAGGACTGAGGAAGGACAGGTGAGGAGGACTGAGGAAGGACAGGTGAGAAGGACTGAGGAAGGACGGGTGACAAGGACTGAGGAAGGACAGGTGAGGAGGACTGAGGAAGGACAGGTGAGAAGGACTGAGGAAGGACAGGTGAGAAGGACTGAGGAAGGACGGGTGAGACGGACTGAGCAAGGACGGGTGCAAAGCTTAGGGTAGGATATAGATAGGTGTAGAATGAGGAGGAGAACAGACAGATGGGAGGTGATGGTGAGCGATCCCATCAGGAGAGGATGGGGAAGGGCCACGTATATGTGAAGGATGATGGGGGTTGGAGTACAGTCAGGGCACAGACAGGTGAGGGATAATGGGGTTAGAGTATGGTCAGGGCACAGGCAGTTGAAGGATGATGGGGGTTGGAGTACGGTCAGGGCACAGGCCGGTGAGGGATGATGGGGGTTGGAGTACTGTCAGGGCACAGGCCGGTGAAGGATGATGGGGGTTGTAGTACGGTCATATGATATGATCTCTGGCGTGTTCTCTCCTAGTATGTCCGGGAGCAGTTATCGGAGAAGCGGCAGGCGGTGTCCACGTGTTCCTCCGCCGACGTCCAGGCGGCTTTCTGTGGGATTATCACTCGGATCCAGAGATAGTGAGTACCTGCGAGCCGGACCCGTCATGGCTGACTGATTGCCGATAGTAGATGGTGTCATGTTCTACCCCTGTAGGTGGGCCGGAGGAAGGACACCCCCTGCTGTTATAAGTCAGTGATGCATTCGATAGGCCTTACTCTGCACTGCCTGGGAGCCTCCAGATTGTCCAATCATGAGCTGGCTGCTGTCCTCTTGTAGTATCGGACGAACCCTCCGGCCGATCTGATGAGGGTGGAAGAAACGAGTCCTAATTGTAGAGTGCTTGTCATAGGCACAGGGGGGCTCAGTCATGGAGTTCAGTCATGGAGTTCAGTCAGTCATGGAGCTCAGTCATGGAGCTCAGTCATGGAGTTCAGTCATGGAGTTCACTCATTGAGTTCACTCATTGAGTTCAGTCATGGAGTTCAGTCATGGAGTTCAGTCATGGAGTTCAGTCATGGAGTTCAGTCATGGAGTTCAGTCATGGAGTTCAGTCAGTCATGGAGCTCAGTCATGGAGCTCAGTCATGGAGTTCAGTCAGTCATGGAGCTCAGTCATGGGGTTCAGTCATGGAGTTCAGTCATGGAGTTCAGTCATGGAGCTCAGTCATGGAGCTCAGTCATGGAGTTCAGTCATGGAGTTCAGTCATGGAGTTCAGTCAGTCATGGAGTTCAGTCATGGGGTTCAGTCAGTCATGGAGTTCAGTCATAGAGCTCAGTCATGGAGCTCAGTCATGGAGCTCAGTCATGGAGCTCAGTCATGGAGTTCAGTCAGTCATGGCGTTCAGTCAGTCATGGAGCTCAGTCAGTCATGGAGCTCAGTCATGGAGCTCAGTCATGGAGCTCAGTCATGGAGTTCAGTCATGGAGTTCAGTCATGGATTTCAGTCAGTCATGGAGTTCAGTCATGGGGTTCAGTCATGGGGTTCAGTCAGTCATGGGGTTCAGTCAGTCATAGAGCTCAGTCATGGAGTTCAGTCATGGAGTTCAGTCATGGAGTTCAGTCATGGAGTTCAGTCATGGATTTCAGTCAGTCATGGAGCTCAGTCATGGGGTTCAGTCATGGGGTTCAGTCATGGAGTTCAGTCAGTCATGGAGCTCAGTCATGGGGTTCAGTCATGGGGTTCAGTCATGGAGTTCAGTCAGTCATGGAGCTCAGTCATGGGGTTCAGTCATGGGGTTCAGTCATGGGGTTCAGTCATGGAGTTCAGTCAGGGAGTTCAGTCAGTCATGGAGCTCAGTCAGTCATGGAGCTCAGTCATGGAGCTCAGTCACGGGATCCTGAACTGGTCATCTCCTGCTATAATGCGTGTACTCCGGGGTGGCAGTTTATGGGTCGGGCTGGAACTCGTATGAAAGATTTCTCACCTAAACTGCTCTATAAAAATGTCCTTCAATCACCGGAGATGATGAGGAGTCTCTGCAACAACCAGAAGATTGGCTTTGTCTGGCACCTCTTGCCCTTGCAGTGATGGTTCTCCATGTCAGAAGGTGAGCTCATCATTCTGGAAGGTAGGTTCTCCATGTCGGAATGTAGGTTCTCCATGT